AATGAACGGATCGGTACTTTGATCGCTTGATCGGGCGCATGATTGTCGAAATTGGTGAGGATGTAACTGTGGTTCAAGAGGAGCCTTTTCTCTGAGCAAGAATCCCAGGTTCTGGCCCCAGGACTCAACATCGGCGATCTGTGGAAAACCGTGAACCACATCCCACTATGGAGTTATGATCCACATCCCATTTCTTAATTAAGATACTTCGACCCTGCAATTTTGATGTGCACACTGGATTCATGGCAGTCAGGATGTCTAAGTATTCTCATTATGAGAACGCAACGATGCCCGAAGATACTCGCTGATCGAGATGGTTGACCACGGGTGGCGAAGGACAACAGCCAAGCGATGCAGTTGGAGAAGGTGAAGCATTTCATGACGAGAAATAAATCGACTATACAGCTCGCATGGTTCCGACGTGAGTTGTGTCTCCAGGAGGAGCCTTTCGACTGATTTGAATTTCAATTGACTTCTCAAACGCATTAATACGGTCATTGAAGTTGTTTGGTGAGCGAGCGAGTTCGGGCGGGGTCGGAAAGAAGAAGCCATTGGATGAGCTCGTGGGAAGCCTCTGGGGGCTTGATTAGAGGCTCCAGAGTCATCGTGTTCATGCATATGTATATTTCTGGAACCAGTGAACTGTCAAAATCAACCACTTTCGCTTCAGAACAATCATGATGGAGAGTCCGAAGCACAGACGAACTAAAGGTCCACCCAACCAGGTTGTTGGTTATCCTGTGAGCAACAGGTCACTTCATCAGAGCTGATGAAGAACTCACATGTTTAAGCATCGCTCGGAACGAGGGGGTGCGACATCTGCGCCTCAACAGCATCCTGGAAGGGCTGCGCGACATGACGTACCAGCAAACATTCTATTCTGCGATGGAGTTAGGTGGTCTACTTGCCGTCCCGCTTCTGAAAGGCTTAAAACAGCAAACGAACCCAAGGTCTGGGCCAACTAACCTTCTGTCGACGTGAGACTTGCCAGCCACTCGATGAAGAGTGTATCTCATTCCCGTTATTTCAGTCAGCGAGAACGAAATCGTCACCTGTGATAGATTAATTACGTCGAGCGAGCGAGTGTGTGGTCGTCGAAATTAATGAAGTGTCTTCAATCCTCCATGTCGGAGAGAGCTTCACAGGCAAGTTCGCGCTTGAAGGACATCGTCGTTCGATATGCATCCATTGCTCTGTCAGTCCATCTCCATACGTCTGGGGCTCTGATTACTATTATGACAGGTTCGTCAAAGAAGAGATGGTCACGTGTGCATCAGTTCCTACGTTCGGGAAAAGCTGTACCACTGCAAAACGCCTTTCCACGTATAAACCGCCTCGGCATGAAAAAAAATTCGACGCTGCTCGAAACGCTGGACTCGCAGTCCTGTCAGAAAGTTGACATGCCGACGTACCACGGTCTGAGATCGTGGAAAACGTTTCTTGAACGAACACATTCGTTCCGTTCACATCTCTTGTTCAGCCAAGCCGACCAGGGCCGCCCACTTCAGACTGAAGACGAAGCTTTTGCACAGATCGTCTGTTCAGACAGTGTCGACTTTTTTGCTGTACCGAAACCTCCCGTTCTTGAATGTCGCTCATAATCGTCAAGGTTCGGGGAATGAGATATAGTGAAAATTTAATGGCTTGCAGAGCTCTTCTCTTCCTTCATTATCAAGTACATCGTAGTATCGATCTTTCCAAAGACCATTGTAGGAACCCTAATTGACGTGTTTGACAACGAATCTCAAACGAGATGGAAGTACTGACGGGCTCGTGTAAGCTTTGGTCTTCGAACTCAGTGTTCGAGTCTGGGCATCTTACGAAGGGAGCCGTTGACGTGCTCAGTCTGGGCAGCGACGAAGAAGGGAAAGAGAGTCGAACAGGGTAACATCTTGGCTTCTGTTAAGAAGCCGGATTTTCCATCACCGACGGGTCTTGGAATTGCAGAAAAGAATCAGCAGCTGTTCGAATCTTCCATCGTTACCTTTGGGCTAACAATTCACTAGTCTAAGAAAACCCGAGCACGCCACAGTTTAGGTCACCGGGCTAGGTTCAAGTTGGGTTCAGACACATCGACTTTCACCTCATGCCATCAGATGACCTGGAAAATGTTTCGTGTTCATTCCGAAGCTTCGACAGATGTTCAAAATACAGAACGAGGGCGGTCGATTCCAATCGGTCCGAACTGAGAGACCCCCATCCTGCTGCTGGCGGCCATCGAAGAAAAAGGTCGGAGCAGGCCGACACGTGACTCACAGGATTGTCTTCCCGCTCTAGATGGCCCGTAAAAGACCGGAACGGCAAGGCTTCTCTCCATTTCAGCCACCATCGCACGTCAGGACTCACCGAATGTGATCGAGTCCCCAATCTGCTCACGATTAGGTCAATGAAACATCTCTCGAAGGGTGTTCTATGTAGCAGATACCCTAGGGAGAGGTGCGAGGATCTGAATAGACAGATGTCAACTTGGGTCTTTTCTGAAGCGTGAAAGATACCATTTCTGATCGAGAGGAGATGTACAGCTTCAGAAAGTACAGCAAGAGTGCGAGCCACGACGCTGCTGAAAATGAGCCGGGCTCGGCTCGATACTCATCTGAATGCATGTTTGGAGGCTCATGTGACGTACTGAGGTCAAGACTGCGCTGATGTCACAGGTGAGAGAGGCAACTGTGAGCCGCTCGACTTATCCACGTTTGGCATCGATCGTTTCGCCTGTTTGACCTTCGGATATCGGAGGCCACCACGTCCTCTGACGACCCCAGCTGTGACCTGAGTAGCATGATGTCATCCGTGACCTGAACCACGACGCATGAGAAAAAAGACTATTCTACTTCCCTACTTCTCACCTGGGAGATCCAGTGCTCACATCTTTCGTCACAATTTCCGAGAACCGATTGCATCCTTTGAAATTATGGGCGAATTAGCCTCTCTGCGTTCACAGGGCACTAACATTCAGGTAGATTCTTTCCACGTTTACGACTGCTGCGTGAGATCTCTGATGCGAAGTTAAGATGATTGACGACGGAAATCCTTTTCGACCCTCAGAATTGTTCAGAATGTTCTCCGAGCGAAGGTTTGGGTCCCCACATTTCCACATTTACAAGTGCACCGTGGGAGATGTCCGAGGCTGTGACTCTTGGTTGGGTAAAGAAGGAAATGTCACTGGAGCTCTGCTGGCCGGCGGATGCCTTCGAAAGTAGCTGTGTGAAATCCTTGATTTGTTGAAGCTCTATGCTCTGGAAGTGAACTATTCCCCACATGGACTGGCATCATTCTCGTTTGATCTTGCACTGCTGTAGATTCTCTGGCCATATTTGCTCCACAAGTTGCTGCTACTGGCAGCGAAAAGAATAGATCTGCCACTAAGTGGACATCTCATTCAAGCTATCCAGTTTCTTTACTGAACGACGTGACGATTGTACGAGATACTGCAGTGCAACTGGAATGTGATGTGCGTACTGCCTCCCAGCCATCCAGGCAGAAACCGGGGGTCCAAGACCGCTCAGTAAGAGTATAAACAAGTCCATAGGATCTCTATCTTCTTGCCCGAAACGATGGAAGCATGTCGGTGCAGCAAGGGGATGCACAAGGAAGGGATTCCCTATCTTTAAGATGTGTGCACCAGTCGTGTATCTAAACCCCTAGACTCAGCATGAGCGAGGTGGCGTAAACCATAATAATGTGTCAGATAAATCAGTCGAGAGTTTATAATTCATAAAATCTCCGCATCTTGAACGTCTAAATCCCGATTGCACGTAGTGTCATGTCTGTACAGGTCCCTCCAGTGAGATAAGAGGGCAATGTGAGCATATAACGCCTGCAGTGCTGTGACCACATTGCAGTCCGATTTCTCAGCCGTTTTGCCTGCCGAAGTGGCATGACGAGAAAATTTGCAGAGGACTGGATTGCCGCATGACCTACCTCCTGCACTTCCTTCTGTCTATTTCAGTACGATGTCAACGAGCCTACAGTCTCCAGGAAGTAAAGGCCGACAGTACACTCTAGCTGTATCTCTTGTCTGATAATCAGAAAATTGATCAGCTTAACAGCTTGCCATCATTTAAAGTCCATGATACCTCCGCCATGCCGGGACGGGAAGAGGAGTCCCGTGTAGACTAGACCTTCGGAACTGGTCAACGAATGCGCAGTATTGGGACAGATCTCTGTTTTTCTCCTGAACATTCATTGCCAGAACCGTCACCTTTCTTACGCACAAGTTCCCAAACTTTCTTCAGTAAAGCGCAGTTACAGTAGATCAGGTCCATCCTGGTAAATACACGTGAAGGGTCCAGTTGGAAATTTTCCAGACGGTGATGTACTCCGTGAACAGAATTCTTCGAAAACTTCCACATTGGTCGGCTTCTAGGTTGGTGGGATTTAGAAGTCAACCATCTAATCTTGTTACTTGCTCACAGTGATCTAACATAGCAGCCAGTGTGGGCACATTGAACTGACGGTGCCTGAGCTTATCTACATGAAATTCTGGCTAGTGTAACAATTGCGAAATCGTCCACGTATTTACTACACTCGGTCAGTTTTGCCCCATCGCTTCGGCTTCATGTTTCTCGACAGAGCTACTGGAAATTACTCCGGCATGGAACTAGGAAACTGGTGATGTCCAGAGTCTCCCCTTTCAAATTAACACACGCGTGTCCATTTTATATCTGACGGAGATCCCCCGTGGAGTTATTTCACCGAACTGACTACACGCATTCCTGTATCCCAGTCCTCCTTTCGCATCACACCCCAAGGCCAGCGGACGTCTTCGAATTCAATGCGTACCATCAGCTGCTACAAATTTCATCGTAATACCTGTAATTAGCCCTTGCTGTGCCGTACGCCACTAATCCCGTCTCAAACTGTCTCATACTGCAGTAAAAAATTTGAGCTACAACACGCAACGAGAAAAAGCTGAATCGTTCTGCACGGGCCAGTCAGAACGGCGAGCAGGTAAATTCCCATTCTGTGAAATTCACATATGCATGAAATGTGTGCGTCTCCTGGTCTCAAAGTTGTCAGCTTTATTTGTGTTGGAATCCTTGACATTTTCCAAATTTTAAACAAGGAAGTGCACGCGAATAGGTTTCATGCACCTCGTTAATAAAGAAAACGCCATCACTCACCTTCACAGACTTCTTGAGCCTCCGTACGTCAAGAGAAACGTCCGAGATGTACAACGCACGAACATCGGATATCTCACACAGGCGATATGATCCTTTCTGCCTGGGCATGGAAAAGCTAGGACGGGCAACAAGAAATGCGATGGAACCGAGTTCCCTGTTCACTGAGGGAACCAAGAGTTTATATACCTGAAAACAGTCTACGATAGAATACATTCTCAGATCATTCCAATCCGTAGCATTGTAAGTTTCTCGTGTATCAAAGATGTTCTCGGCCCCTGTCTGGGGACATATACTGGAGAGGTCGAACAACTTAGAAGCTGCCGGAAGAAGGATCCTGGTGCTTAAGCTTCACATTGGTGCACTACCCGCTGCGTTCCAACTGTGGAATGTGTGGACCTCATCCTAGCAACGGCGAAATGCCGACGAACTCTATAGTGTCAATCAATGTGATTGACTGGAACCACTGACTAGCCGAACTTAACACTACAGGTTGATAGCTGCTGTTTTCGCTAGTTTAGAATTAGAGTATAATATACAAGAGCTGCGATCACCCGCAGCAGTTTTGGTAATTGTCGCGCTTACGGATAGGGGCTTGCGGATCCACGACGATGAACTTGGCGGGTGGCAACTCGATTTTCGAGGACGTCTCCTCTAAACGCGTCTTTATGTCCCTAGCAATCGACTCGAATACTTCCTCCACATTGAACTTCGTTTTGGCACTGGCTTCGAAGAATTTAATCTTATACTCGTCTGCGAGAGCCTGGCCTTGATCTTTGGTGACCTGCCTCTTGCTGTCCTCCATATCTGCCTTATTTCCGACCAAAACTACGTTAACATTCTCAGCCGCGTACTCCGTGATGCTTCCAATCCAGTTCCGCACGTTCTGGAACGAGGAAGAATCCGTGATATCGTACACCAGAAGAATTCCCATGGCTCCCCTGTAGTAAGCTGTCGTGATCGTGCGAAATCTCTCCTGCCCGGCAGTGTCCCAAATTTGCAACCGCACCTTCTTCCCATCCACATCTATCGTCCGGACCTTGAAGTCGATGCCTATGGTAGTGATGAACGACGTGGCGAAGGAGTCGTCACAAAATCGAAGCAGCAGACAACTCTTCCCCACCCCACTGTCTCCAATTAGGAGCAGTTTCATGCGGTAATCACTGTCCGCCATGGTCCCCGACCCGCCTCGAATCCACTCTCGATAAACTCCCCCGCTGGCGCGGGCAACCCCCACACAAAAAAATTATTTATACAAAAAAAAAAACCTCGACGCTTCAACCTGTCCTACTCCCTTCCTTCACCGCCGATACCCGCGAGTGAGCTGCAGCCACTGAACCACCGACGCATGCAGTCGCTATCGACCGCCAAAACACCCGCAGCGAGCACACCAAACAAACGACCCGACCCGAACTGCAATTCTTACCACAAGATGGCCGACAGCGAGGGGAAAAACAAAACCTCAACCTCAACCTGACCCGCACAACAAACCAGCACGGCACTCGTCTCGAAGCAGAGGAGCAAGAACGAAGCAGTCGATGAAAGACGAAGACGAAGACGAAGACGATCGCGTCACCCCTGCCTGCCCGCCCGCCCGAATGACTATGACAGTGAATGAATTGTGGCAGAGCAGGGTGGTGGCAGAAGGTCGCAAAATCGCCGAGCAATTGGCGATTCAATCGCAGGAGGCGCAGGTTCTTGAACGCCCGCCCGATGCAAGCAAGCAACGAAGAAGAAGAGGGCGAGGACGAGGTCGAGGTCGAGGGCGCAGAGTCAGAAGGCGAGTCAGAGAGAGCCGAGACAGGGTCTGGGCAGAGAGAGCAGCAGCCGCGCGCTGAAGAAGTGCGGGGGCCGACGACCATCGTCGACCCCTTCAGCGCAGCGCAGAGCAGCGCAGCCCGCCCGCCGCGGTGGGGCCCGCCGCCCCTCCCCCATCCACGGAGGCCTGGAGCTCCGCCCTCCAGATCAGCAGCGGGCCCGCCCCCCCCCCCCCCCCCCGCCCGTGAATCATGACGCCACGCCATGACATGGCGGTGCTCCAGCGGAGAATAGCCGCTCCCGCGTGCTGCCTCCTCTTCCCACGCGCTCCCCCCTGCCAGACAGCCCCCGCCAGCTAGTTTAGCTCCGCCCTTGGGGCATTTCCGCCCATCACACAGATCCCATCTTCTCTTCTCTACTACTACCATCTATCCATCTTTCCATCCGTCACTGAATCCTACGGTCCTCAGCGCCCAGAGTGGCCGTCCGGGTTCAAACGTCCGAGAGACTGACCGTGCGAGGTGAAGGAGTCCGAAGGGTCAGTTCAGATTAACCATGGTTACTGAACTGCTCTAGCCGTCTAGCCCTTTCGCTCGAATTAATTGTGCATGCGAGGGATTAGAACCGTCACGACGGGTACAAAGGCTCCCATTGTGCATCTACAGAACCGTAGGTCTGTCACACTCTGGCCGTCCCTTCCCGTTAATGCAGGGGGGTGCTTCTTCTGCTATATTTAGTACCAAATTTCGGAGTATTACACGCACCAAATTCGGCTCTCGTACTATCCCGTACGTGCCAATCATAGAGAATCCACATTTTTTCACATTTTCAAAATAGCTCAAGTGTGCTTTGGGCTCATTTCTTTTGGTCGTTTTGTAAGGTGCATCTAATTGATTACCTAGAGCCCGACTGTTCTAAAAAAAATATTTCGTATAGTTTTTTTCTTACCACATTATTGAATTTTGTGATATATATCTTTATAAAATAATTTTTTCAAGAATTTTTTAAGTTGGAAGTATGCACTATATTTTTTAGCTAAAAGTGACTATTCACAAGGCATATCAGATTGTTTTATTATGATGTAGACAATGAAGCAGAGCTCGAAAATGCTGACCTCTGGAACTGGTCCACCTCGCGGACTATTTATTTCTCACTGCAGATCGAGCAGCGGAGGGAGGAAGGTCCGGAGCGAGCATGATCGACGGCTCCAGAGGACGTACACGCGGTGTGGTCGATGTGGCGGCATCTTGGGAAAGATTCCGGAATTTGAATGGAGAGGAGTCGGAATCGGAAGTCAACGTGGAGTTCGATCGAAGTTCCGAGGATTTGGATGTCGACGACCGCGATGCAGGTCCAAGTCACGGGGCGGGCGATGGAAGCATCAATCGATCGAAGGGGCAGACAGACCCTTTCTTCTCTCGCTGAGCCTGTCTGCTTGCGCTGGTCACAGCCATGCAGCTGCTGTGCTTCGATTCGGTTCGAATTGGGCCCGAACTCGGCAGTTGACGGGACTTGCGAGGCCGAGCGAGCGAGCAATCGGCTGGAGCTGTCATTTTGACTCTGTGGCGCATCTGGACCAATCTGCTGCCTCCGCGAGCTGCGACTCGGTCGTGCTCGCTTGACCCACTGACGCGACTGTGGCCTCGTCTCTGTCCTGCTGGGACACAGAGTCTCTCTCTCTCTCTCTCAGAAGACTCGGGAGTCCTGCACGTTGCCCCTCCACGCCGCCACCAGTTCCTCCCTCACTCCACTCCATCTTCGCACAGTTCACATCAACTCGGTCCATTTTTATTGTCTGCTCGAGAGTACGAAGACTGGCTGGGGCATCACAGAAGAATGGGGTTGTGAATTTCAGATCTGTATATTCGGTTGGATCTGGCTGCATTCGCCCTGCTGTGTAATTTGAGAGAAGCAAATGGGGATAGATTGCCAACCGGCAGCAAATTCGTGGCCTGAATTGCTGGCGGCCTCTACTTGGTAGGATGCATCGTTAGGATCACAGAGTGCGACGCGTTTCATAGTCTCGAATGTGATCGCGGCGAAGAGCATCTGTGGACATCAATTCTGTCAACTCAGGCGGAGACTATGTCCATGATGAACGATTTAAGATATTATTTCGAGATCAGCTACTCTGGGAAGAGATTTTGACAAATCAAGTGGATGAGAATATAATGACGTGATGAATGAATATTGTTGACAAGTTGTGAGAAGGGAGGAACAACGGGGCCAGGTGACAAGTCCCCCTCCCCATCCAACAAGCGACCTCATATAATATTCTTCCATCACAGAAGAATATGATAAGCCAATATTTTATTATAGCTTGTACACTATGCACTCTCGACGATACAAGGTGCCTTTCAGCACACAATGTCTTCGCAGACAGGTTGCCAAATCTCTGAGGTCACATACCTCCAACCTACCTTCATCAGACATTCACATTTGATATTTTACACGGCAGATTCCCCATCCTTGCCGGAACCTACTATCATGCAACCAACTGTAGGTTAGAAATGCGCCGGAAGATGTGGCTCATCCGTGGAGCTGGAATAGAATGCTGTCCAAAACTGCAAATGGCTCTCTGGAGGCTGGATAGGAACTGGCTCTACACTCAGATCACCTTCATGCTCTGGCTCCACTTCACAGCTCTTGTCCCGCTAAGAATGGGCTGCCTACAATAGGAGGAGGCCGAAGCATCATCCTCTGAGGATGCTACATTCTTTCGTTCAGCTATTTGCAACACTAGTTTCTGTTTACTCTGCAGTCATACCTTACATAACCGCAACGCAGGCAGTGTCCAAAAGCACGCAGCAAAAGCAGACAGATGATCTTACGATTCCATTCACCTGTGAGTTTGACATTGTTGCCAAGTTGTATGATCGGACTTACTTTTCCTCCTCCTCTCCAACTATTTGCCAGATGCTATACTTACATCCTTCTTTACGAGTGAACAGAGGAAGTCAAGTCCACATTTCAAAACAGCTCATTTACTGTCCTCTTCCATAGGTCCCATGTCAATATTGGCAATCGTATTCTAGCTTGGACATCATGTGAGAGTAGTGGCGTTATGTGCACATTGAGCTCAAACTTGTCAACATGGTCGAGAAGATCAAAGAAGACCTGGCTAAACAGATTTCCAGACTAAGATTTGGTCAATATATGTTGCGTATGGGTTGCAATTATTCTTACTTCCTGAGGTATCCATGATATAACCGAGCAAACTTCATAGCGGCTTCGAAAGACTTTTACTCTATAGATAAATGATATGAAAATATTATCCGCTAGTATGTGTCCTTCGATAATGCTCAAGATAACTTTACTATGATAATGGGATACACGACTTATATATACTGTTAGTTACTAATGTTTTAGTTTGGTGATATTTCTACATAAAAATTTTTCATAAAAAACCCAACATGCAAGTTTAGAAAAATCGACTATGTAGAATCGTCTAGGAAGAGCCCGATAGCTGTTAGACCTACGCACATGTTTATGAGCTTAGGGCAGAAGAAAAAGGTATGGTTGAAATATTTTACCCTGGAGTCGTTAGTCAGATACAACAACGGTTAGCTCTGGCTGGAACATTTCTCCGTGTGAGTGTTGCTCAAAAGAACCTCTGCAGCACAAATGTCAGAAGTTGATTATCCAATCCAGATAGCTCACCCAATTTTCGACTGACTCTAGTAAGATGACTGTTCTCTTTTGTCTTTTTCCAGGTACAACGAAGTGGTAGTTTTCTCTGTTCTCCTTCTTTGGCAGTTTTCTCAGAAGATTAATTATAAATGAGAAGAATAGAACAAGTTTAGTTAGAAAAATCGTTTCACAGTCCAATTCTCAATTTTGTATTTTTTTTCAAAGCTGACGATTCGCCAAATCTGAAGTATAGAAAATCAGTGAGTAAAGATGAGTCCAAATCTTCCTTCCTTCTAAGATGGCAAAATCGGAGCTTCTATATTCCTCCAGAGTGATAAATCAATGTGCCAAGTCTTGTCAGCGTGTACGAAATTGCTCACTGGGAGAATGATGTGATAGTAAAATATCTAGACCCAACTTGTCAAACTTTGGGAACCCTTCAACAGTTGTGTGCAAATAGTACTTTGTTTCTCAGAGTGTAGGTAGGTCCAGGAGTCACTAATTCCTGGATCCCTATCCGACCACGTCGGCAATCCACTACAGTACAAGCCTACCCAGTCTGCCAAAGTTAAACAGTAAAGTACATAGTTGTACCTCAAGGACAATTTGGGTACTACATCAGTCATGCACGGCTTTGACTCAACGCCTTGACTGTAGTCAGGTCTGAAGAAAAGACGTTGTCGTGCTTTGCTGAAAGATGAAGCTCAATCAGTTCCGAAACAGTCGGATTACGGCTTTCGTACAATATCAAGACTTTTGATTCGAGGTATCATAAACAAATCATATACGCTGGAAGATACCATCGAGCTGTGAAAATTTTCCCTGTGTTGTAAAATTCAGGAAGTCGAAAGTTCTGTGTTAACTATTCATTTTAACTTGAATAAGTATCATCCTTCTTTTTCTGATTGTTGAACTAAACTCATTTTCTTTTGCTGCTACTCATTCATTGTTTATTCGAGGTTTGGTTAGTTCATATTTCTCTCCACCTTACTTGCTCTTTGATTGCTTAATTATGTGACTTGAGTATAAATATAACATAATTTTTTTGGTAAATTTATATTGTATTCTTGTCATCCATGCATGCACACAAATGAGCTTATTCGGGTGAAAATTACTTCTTCAAAGTCGACAAGTATTTGATTCAAAAAAATTAAAGAAAAATTTGTTTTCTTCATATAAAAATATTCAAGGATGGAACACAGTAAGTTATGTCAAAAATTTATTATGTATGGTAAAAAAGTTACATATCTTATAAACTACATCTTTTAATTAAAATGTGATATCTATGTAATACTCCTCCATATTGAAAATTTATTTATTTATCAATAAATATAATATTCAATTTATTAATATATGTATCAAATATATAAATATAATATATTTTTTACCAAATTATTCTGTCTATTTGAGTTGAAAAGAAGATACATTGTGATTGATAAAACCAATAGCCATGGTCTT